GTCGCCACTTTCGTGGGCTCCTGGGAGGCCCAGCGGAGGTGGGTCCCCGCGGATCACCTCGGTAGCTCGCCTCCCCCTGGGGGCAAGCGATCTGCGCAATTGTCGCCCCTTTCGTGGGCTCCTGGGATGCCCAGCGGAGGTGGGTCCCGCGCGGACCACCTCGGGACCTCGCCGTCCCTGGGGGCTGCAATCTGCGCAATTGTCGCCACTTTCGTGGGCTCCTGGGAGGCCCAGCGGAGGTGGGTCCCACGCGGATCACCTCGGTAGCTCGCCGCCCCCTGGGGGGCTTGCGATCTGCGCAATGTCGCCACGTTCGTGGGCTCCTGGGAGGCCCAGCGGAGGTGGGTCCCACGCGGATCTCCTCGAGACCTCGCGGTGCCCTGGGGGGCTTGCGATCTGCGCAACTGTCGCCACTTTCGTGGGCTCCTGGGAGGCCCAGCGGAGGTGGGTCCCACGCGGATCACCTCGAGAGCTCGCGGTGCCCTGGGGGCTGCGATCTGCGCAACCGTCGCCACTTTCGTGGGCTCCTGGGAGGCCCAGCGGAGGTGGGTCCCACGCGGATCACCTCGGTACCTCGCCGCCCCCTGGGGGGCTTGCGATCTGCGCAACTGTCGCCACTTTCGTGGGCTCCTGGGAGGCCCAGCGGAGGTGGGTCCCACGCGGATCACCTCGGTACCTCGCCGCCCCCCTGGGGGGCTTGCGATCTGCGCAACTGTCGCCACTTTCGTGGGCTCCTGGGAGGCCCAGCGGAGGTGGGTCCCACGCGGATCACCTCGAGACCTCGCGGTGCCCTGGGGGCTGCGATCTGCGCAACTGTCACCACTTTCGTGGGCTCCTGGGAGGCTCCAGCTGAGGTGGGTCCCACGCGGATCACCTCGGTAGCTCGCCGCCCCCATGGGGGGCTTGCGATCTGCGCAACTGTCGCCACTTTCGTAGGCTCCTGGGAGGCCCAGCGGAGGTGGGTCCCACGCGGATCGCCTCGAGACCTCGCGGTGCCCCTGGGGGCCTGCGATCTGCGCAACTGTTGCCACTTTCGTGGGAGGTCCCAAGTTTGAGGATGCTCCGACGGTTGTCTTCGAATGGGGCACTTCCAGTGGTGGGAAAATCTCGCGGGAAACTATGAAGAGAAAACTTGGATGGAATGTGTGTGTCGCAACACCGTTGATGCGTCCTGGGCTTGCACTGGTTTTCCGCATCCTCATCCTCATCCTCCTCTCAGAGCTCCATCCGCCTCCTCCTCCCCCTCCTATTCCGCCTCCTCCTCCTGATCCTCCTCCTCCTCCTCCTCCTCCTCCTCCTCCTCCTCCTCCTCATCATCATCATCATCATCATCATCATCATCATCATCATCATCATCATCATCATCATCATCATCATCATCATCATCATCATCATCATCATCATCATCATCATCATCATCATCATCATCATCATCATCATCATCATCATCATCATCATCATCATCATCATCATCATCATCATCATCATCATCAGCATCATCATCATCATCATCATCATCATCATCATCATCATCATCATCAGCATCATCACATCATCATCATCATCATCATCATCATCATATCCATCATCACAGCACATCATCATCAACACATCATCATCCATCATCGTCATCATCATCATCATCAGCATCATCATCATCATCATCATCATCACATCATCATCAGCATCATCATCATCGTCATCATCATCATCATCATCGTCGTCGTCACATCATCATCATCATCATCATCATCATCATCATCATCATCATCATCATCATCATCATCATCATCAGCATCAGCATCATCACATCATCATCAGCATCAGCATCATCATCATCATCATCATAATCATCATCATCATCATCATCAGCATCAGCATCATCATCATCATCATCATCATCATCGTGTTCCTGCTGCTCCTCCTCCTTCTACTCCTCCTCGTCCTCCTCCTCCTCCTCCTCCTCCTCTTCTACATCATCATCAACAGCATCAGCATCATCATCGCCATCGTCATCATCATCATCATCAGCATCATCATCATCAGCATCAGCAGCATCATCAGCATCATCATCATCATCAGCATCAGCATCATCATCATCATCATCATCATCATCATCATCATCATCATCATGATCATCATCATCAGCATCAGCATCAGCATCAGCATCATCATCAGCATCATCATCAGCGTCAGCATCAGCATCATCATCACCAGCAGCATCATCATCAGCATCAGCAGCAGCAGCATCAGCATCAGCATCATCATCATCAGAATCAGCAGCATCATCATCATCAGCAGCATCAACATCACCAGCATCATCAGTATCATGTATCAACAGGTTCACTATCATACTCATCAGCAGCAACATCATCATCCTCGTCATCATCGTCATAATCGTCATCATCATCAGCAGCAGCATCATCAAACTCGTCCGCCTCGTCAGCATCGTCAGCATTCTAATCATCAGCAACATCATCATCAGCATCGTCATCATCATCATCAGCAGCAGTATGCTCAGCATCATCATCAGCATCATCATCAGCAGCATCATCATCAGCAGCATCGCCACCATCAGCATCACCAATTTCATCGTCATGAGGAGCAGCAGCAGTATCATCATGATCATCATCAACACCACTGGCATCAGCATCCGCATCATAATAATCATCCTCATCGTTATCAGCATCATCAGCATCAGCAGCATCATTATCACACTCATACGCATCATCATCAGCAGCAGAGGCAGCAGCAGCAGCAGCAACATCATCAGAAGCAGCGGCAGCAGCTGCATCATCAGCAGTAGCATTATCACCATCAGCATCAGCAGCAGCATCATCCTGATCTGCATCATCGTTCCCACCAGCATCATCATCAGCATCAGCATCAGCATCATCATCAGCAGCATCATCACCATTGTTATTACCATCCTCAGCGTCATCATATTCACCATCATTGTCATCGGCATCGTCATCGTCAACGTCAGCATCATCATCATCATCAGCAGCAGCAATAGCAGCATCCTCCTCCTCATCATCCACCTCCTTCTCAACCCCTACCACTCTTCCTCCTCCTCCTCCGCCTCCTCCTCATCATTGTCATCAGCATCAGCATCAGCATCATCATCAGCATCATCACCAACACCATCACCATCACCATCATCATCAGCATAATCATATTCATCGTCATCATAAGTATCATCCTCATCATCAGCATCAGCATCAGCATCAGCATCAGCATCATCATCATCATCATCATCATCATCATCATCATCATCATCATCATCGTCATCATCATCCTGCTCCTCCTCCTCCTCCTCCTCCTCAACGCCTCCTCCAACTCCACTCCTCCTCCTCCTCCTCAACGCCTCCTCCTCCTCCTCAACGCCTCCTCCTCCGCCTCCTCCGTCTCCTCCTCCTCCGCCTCCTCCTCCTCATCCCTGGAAATGCTGGGGCCTCCTCTGCTCGCCGCCGGCTCACTCATTGCTCGCGCTGGCACGCGTGGAGGTAGTATCTCTGCTTCTGGGCGGGCCGCTCGAAGACGACCGTTCTGCAGTCGCCCCAGTCGTCGGCCTGCCTGAGAGTGAGGGGGGACGATAGTGAAGGGCTGGCTCGGGGAGAGGGGTGGGGCACGTGCTTCCTCTTCCTCCTCTCCTGCTCCTCCTCCTCCTTCTCCTCCTCCTCCTCCTCCTCCTCCTCCTCCTCCTCCTCCTCCTCGACCTCCTCCTCCTTCTCCTCGTCCTCCTCCTCATTCTCCTCTCCTCCTCCTCCTCTCCTCCCTCCTCCTCCTCCTCCTCATCCAACTCCCTCCTCTTCCTCCTCCTCCTCCTCCTCCTCTTCCTCCTCCTCCTCCTCCTCCTCCTCCTCCTCTCTCTGCCCCGGGGCCCTCGGGTCCGAGGAGGGCCCCGGAGCGAGCGCATGGGCTCCCGATAGAGAAGCCGCACGTTCCTGGGTGAGGTGGGCCGGGCGGTCAGGCCCCTGTCGGCGACGAGTGCGCGTTTGGGGGGTGACGCACTCACCCCTGAGGCTACCCCACCCTGTCGTTGCACGTGGGAGAGGCGGGAGAGGTACTGGCGGCCTCGACTACAACAACAATTCGTCATGCCGCCCCTTGTCCTTCTCATCCTCGTCCTCCTCCTCCTCCTCCACCTCCTTCTTCTCCTCCTCCTCCTGAACTGCCGAGGCTTCAGACTCCCCCTCCTCCTCCTCCTCCTCCTCCTCCTCCTCCTCCTCCTCCTCGACCTCCTCCTCCTTCTCCTGCTCCTGCTCCTGCTCCTGCTCCTGCTCCTGCTCCTCCTCCTCCTTCTCCTCCACCACCACCTCCTCCTCATCCTGCTCCTCCTCCTCCCCCTGCTCCTCCCACTGATTATCCTCCTCCTCCTCATCATCATCCTCATCATCATCATCATCATCATCATCATCATCATAATCATCATCATCAGCAGCAGCATCATCATCATCGTCGTCATGATCACGACCACCACCACCACCACCACCGTCATCATCATCATTATCATCAGCATCATCATCATCATCATCATCATCAGCAACAGCAGCAGCCGCATCAGCATCAGCATCAGCATCGGCATCATCATCATCATCATCATCATCATCATCATCATCATCATCATCATCATCATCATCATCATCATTATCAGCATCAGCAGCATCATCATCGCCGCCAGCAACACCACATCATCATCGTCATCATCATCTGCAGCAGCATCGTCATCATCATCATCATCATCATCATCATCATCATCATCATCATCATCATCATCATCATCCTCAACATCTTCATCATCATCATCACAATCGCCATCACCATCACCATCACTGTCCTCATCCTCATCCTCATCCTCATCCTCATCCCCATCATCGTCATCATCAGCATCATCACCATCAGCGTAATCATCATCAGCATCATCAGCATCGTTATCATCATCAGCATCATCATCAGCAGCGTCATCGTCCACCTCATCATCACCGTCATCATCAACGACAGTATCATCGTCATCATCAGCATCAGCATCGTCATACTCATCATCCTCATCATCATCAACATCACCATGATCATCACAATCCGCATCAGCAGCAGCAGCATTAACATCATCATCAGCACCAGCAGAAGCATCATCATCATCAGCATAGGCTTCAGCATATCATCATCGTTATCATCGTCATCATCAGCATCGTCATCATCATCAGTATCATAATCATCATCATCATCATCATCATCATCATCATCATCATCATCATCATCATAATCATCATCATAATCATCCTCATCATCATCATCAGCATCATCGTCATCTTTTCATTGGCATCATCATTAGTATCCCAATTATCATCACCAGCATCACAATCACCGTCAACAGCATCATCGCCATCACCATCACCCAGTCAAATCCTCAGAATCATTATCCTCATCATCAGAAACATCATCATGATCATCATCATAATCATCATTATTGTAAACATATTTATCATCATCACCACCATCATCACCACCATCATTACCATCGTCGGGCTTGTCCGTTCGAGTCGTCGTCTCCATCATTCGTCAGTCGTCGTCCCTGTCGTCCCCTTTCCCTGCGGCCCTCACTTCCCTGGAACCGTCGCCGCTCCCCCCTCTGTCCTGGGACATCCTCCTCGAGCGCGCCAGCCAAAGCGAAATTGAGCAACGTCGTAATTCGATCGAAGGAAAGCCCCTCCCCTGGAATCCCTCCCCCGTTGGGGTGGGGGGTCCCGGAGGGAGAGTCCCGGGGGCAAGGCCGCCACCCAGCTACGACTCCCCCTCGGGGGGGGTCCCGGGTCCCAAAAAAGCTCCAGGACGGACCACAAGTGCCCCAAGAGGCCCCCCAAGACGATCCAAGAGGGCTCCGAATCGCCGAGCGATCTGTCCAAGACGCCCTGACGGCCTCTAGACGGCCTCGGAGGCCTGCAAGACGCCCCAAGAGGAAGGCCTCAAGAGGCAACACTCATCAAGTTTCCTTCGGTTTTGAAGGATTTGGTTGTTCTCGCCTCGTCCGCTTCCCGACGCTCCAAGACGGCCCAAGAGGCCCCCAAGATCGCCCCAAGACGGCCCAAAGTTCTCCAAACATTTCCAACATGGCCCACGAGGTCCCCAAGACTTCCTGAGACGCCTCCAAGACAGGCCCAGAGGCACCCAAAACGGCTCCAAGAGGGTGCCCAGACGAGGGACCCGAACAGGTATCTCGAGCACTCGCCCCTCAGAAGCTCTCAGGAGGCCCCAAGAGGCCTCCAAGACGCCCCCAAGAAGCCACCAGGAAGCCCCAGGAGGTCCCCAAGAGGCTCCCACGAGGCCCCCCAAGAGGCTCACCCAAACTGCCCACCAGAGGCCCCCGAAAGCGCTCCGAAGAGACCCCGACAAGCATCCCCTCCTCCCACTGCTTCTCATCCGCCTCGTCTTCATCGTCCTCCAGCTGCTCGCTCCTGCCCCAACTCCCCCTCTCATCCTCCTCCGCATGCACTTCCTCCTTCTCCCCCTCCTGCTCCACCGCGTCCTCCTCCTCTTCCTCCTCCTCCTCCAACTCCTCCTCCTCCTCCTCCTCCTCCTCCTCCTCCTCCTTCTCCTCCTCCTCCTCCTCCTCCTCCTCCCCTTCCTCACCCTCACCCTCACCCTGTCCCTCCTCATCATCATCCCCCTCCTTCGCATCCTCCTCATCACGATCATCCTCCTGATCATCCTCCCCATCATGCTCCCCCCACTCCCCCGCGTGCTCTTCCCCCGGTGATCCGCAACCTCACCTCGACCTCTTCCTCTCCATTCTTATCCTCCTCCTCCTCCTCCTCCTCCTCCTCCGCCTCCGCTCCGCCTCCGCCTCCTCCTCCTCCTCCTCCTCCTCCTCCTCCCCGTCCTCGTCCTTCTCCTCGTCCTCGTCCTCCTCCCCCTCCTCCTCCTCCTCCTCCTCCTCCTCCTCCTCCTCCTCCTCCTGCCCCTCCTTCCGCTCGTCGGCGTCCTCATTCTTCTCCAACTCCTCCGACTCCAATTATCCTCGTCCTCCTGCTAATTCCCCCCCCTCCTCCCCCTGCCCCTGATGCCTCTCCTCTCATGCTTCTCCGCATGACCCTATTCCTCCTCCTCCTCCTCCTCCTCCTCCTCCTGATGCTCCACCGCGTCCTCTACCTCCTCCTCCTGCTCCTCCTCTCCCTCCTCCTCCTCGTCCCCCTCGTGGTCGTCTTCAGGGTCAGTAGCACCAGCCGTAAGGCCTTCGCAATCATCATCATCATTATCATCATCAGTATCATCACCATCAGCAGCAACATCATCATCATCATCGTCATCATCATCAGCAGCATCATCATTATCACCAGTAGCATCGCCAGCACAATCACCATCACCGTCATCATCATCATCATCATCATCATCACCATCATCGGCAGCAGCATCATCATCATACCATGATGATCATCATCGTCGTCAGCAACATCAGCATCAGCAGCATCGTCACCATCATCATCATCATCATCAGCAGCAGCATCATCATCACCATAAGCAGCAGCATCAACATCAGCATCAGCATCATAAGCATTATCATCATTAGCATCGTCAGCATCATCATCACCAGCAGTATCATCACCATCGCCATCGTCATCGTACAAATCATCACCACCACCACCATCACCGTCATCCTCGCTATCATATCGTCATCCGCAGCAGCAGCATCAGCATGAACATCATCGTCAGCCTCATCATCGTCAGCAGCATCGCCACCCGCATCAGCAGCAGCATCATCGTCATGTTCGTCACCATCATCATCATCACCACCATCACCATCACCAGCATCATGTTCATCGTCATCACCATCACCATCATCATCATCACCATCATCATCATCATCAGCATCACCATCACCAGCATCATGTTCATCGTCCTCACCATCACCATCATCATCATCATCAGCATCATCATCATCATCACCATCATCATCATCATCATCATCATCACAAGCAGCATCGTCATCATCCTCACCATCATCAGCGTCACCACCACCACCATCACCATCACCACCAACATTAGCATCACCATAACCACCATCATCGTGATCCGAAAAATTCACCGACCCAACGGGCCAGAGGCGTGCTAAGGTCTCTGGCACCTGCTTTACAATACTTCTATTTCTACTTCGCGCGCGCGGGGCGGCCCCTGGGGGTCCCCGGACGAGCAGTACCCAAGCGGGTGCGGCTCAGAGATGGTTTTCTTTCTGGGCGCCGCCCTTCAGGCCCTCCAGAGCACTCCAAGAGGGTCCCACAAGGCCCCCAAGACAGTCCAAAAGGGCCCCCAGTCGTCGAACGGTCAGTCCAAGACGCCCAACGTGGCCTTCTGATGGTCCAAGACGCCTTCCAAACGCAGCAACAGGCCACCAAGAGCCCTCCCAAGAGGGCCCACGCAGGCAAAGTCATGGATTTCCTGCGGTTTTTCAAGGATTTGGGCGTTCTCGCCTTGTCGTCGTACCCGCGCTCCGAGACGGCTCAAGAGGCCCCCAAGATCGCCCCACTACGGCTCAAGACGGCTCCAAGAGAGCCCCATAACGGCCCCAGAGGGCCCGAAGACAGCCCAAGAGCGGCCCAAGACGACCCAGGAGGCCCCCAAGAGAGCTCCGAGAGCGGGCCCTGCAGGGGTACCCGAACGGACGGTTCAGCTCTCGGCCCCGAGAGGCCCCCAGAAGGCCCTAAGAAGCTCCCAAGAGGCTCGAGGCCCCAAGAGACCCCCAAGAGGCCCCAAGGAGTCCCAAAAATACCGCCAAGAGGCCCCCGAGAGGCCTCCCAAAAGACCCCAAGCAGCCTCCCAAACAGGCGTCTTGCCCACGATCAGGTCTAGCCCGAAAATGCCCCAAGAAGCGATCGAGAGGCCTCCTCCTTCCTTCCTTCGAGCGCTTCGGGCGGTCCCACGCCCGCGGGCCGGGCGCCCCCCCCGCCGGGCCACCCGGCCAGGGGCCTACACTCGATCACGCCTGCGGTTTATACTTCATCGCCTGCGCGAGGAAGCCTCCCCATGGCCGGGGGCCAGAGCGCGGGCTGCCCGGCTCGCGGGCGGCCTGGCGCCTGGACGCCCCGGGGAGAGCGGTCACCCACGACGGCCCTTGGGGAGACGCCGTCGGGGCAACCTTGGCTGCCGTGGCCGGCGGCCCGCCAAGGCGACGCCGCCGGTTCCGGCCTCGTGTTGCTCTCTGATGGAGCATCGCGCAGCCCTGCCGGGCGGGCGGGGGGGGCGCCGGCGGCGGCCGAGGTGGCCGAGGCGCCCCCAGTGGCCTGCTGGGGCAGCTCCACAGCCACGTCGCACGCGCCTGCGCCGAGGCCTCCCTGCGCGGTCACGGCTGCCTGGGCCGGCCCCACTGCTCAGGTGGGCCAGCGTCCTCCATGACGGCGCCCAGCTCCCGCGCCTCGCGCGCAGCCTCCGCCGCCGCCGCTGGGTCCGCCCCGCCAAGGAGCCAGCTGGCCAGCGCGGCCGGCGACGTTGGCGCCCCTCTGGCAGCTGCCGCTCTGCGCCAGGCCGCCGCGCCCAGGCAGTGTATGACGAGGTGCGTGGTCGACCCCAGGTTGGCGCCGCACAGGCGGCACACTGGGATCTGGCCCACGCTGTCTGCCCTGAGCGCCCCCTGGATGGCCAGCCGAGCCCAGGCGCGGACGTCAGCGGGAGGGCAGCCTGCAGCAAGGAGGTCAGGGAGCCCCCACCGCCAGTGGGTGGTGCGCTCCAGGCTGGCCCGCTGGTCCTGCCACCATCTCTGCTCGCTGGCGGTGATCGCTCGTCGGGCATGGGCCCGCTGGAGGAGGGCCCACCGCTTCCGCCGGGCCGTGCGCGGGGCCGGTGCTGCTGCGCGCGGCCGCCGAATCCCCAATTCCTGGGTCGTCGTTTCCATGGCGGCGGTCCACGTCCCAGGGGTATGCGCCGCCACCTCCATGACCGTCGCGGCGCACGAGTACCTGCGATCTGCGAGCACCAGGGCCCATAGCATCATAGCCCTCTCTGTGTATAC